AACAAAGCTATTAATTGCTGATGAAGTTGAAATTTTGAAATCTATAGAAGAATTTAAAAGGAAACTAATTTTTTTTTCAACAAATGCACAACTGCTTGTGCACGTCTTCGATGGAAACTGAGTTCAACGGACCGCGATGTCCAAGGCCGAAAAGTGCCTTCATTTTCCGATGATACCACACCATGACAAGGAGGCTACTTTACAAATGAATAGTCGAATCTCATACATGAGAGCATATTACAGACAGGCCCGCCGCATCCCATCTCGGGCCCTGGTACCAGTTTTAAGGTCCGGGCCCTAAGCACGGAGGGGGGGGGTCCGAGGGGCATCCTCCGAGGAATTTTAGAATTTATACGACTAATCGGACGAATTTTGAAGCTTCCATAAAGAATTTTTCCATCAATTTCTGCAGAATAATTATGGTTTGTTTTCTACTTTCAGCACAAAATACTTACGAATTGTTGCTTCAAAACATCTGGAAATTTATTATTATTTTTTTTCTTTTTTTGGGGGGGGGGGGCAAATGATACTATTTTCACTTCTAAGAGGGCCAGGCGGGCCAGGCCCCCCTGGACTCCCCCTTCGTTTGTCTATGGCAAGGGAGTTGAGCCATGAGCCATTGAAGTTGAGGATGCCCAGACTGGAGACTCTTAGCATCTGACGACGGAAGAAAATGAAACGCAGTTACTAAAAATATCCCTCTGTACTGAAAATCTTGAAAATAGATAGAAATTTTCCAAGAAGGATACCTCTTTGAAAATTTAAGAAGAATTCTACAGTGCCCCAGCGTGTTTCTGAAAATCTATTCACCTTTTGCGAAATTTTTAGGGTAAATTTTTCACTTTTTCTTACGAAAGAAGGGTTGCAAGTGAATTAGTAGTGGTTTTTTATAGGTAACACGGGCCCCGGTACCAGGGACCCAGTATCCCCCCCTTGTGGCGGGCCTGCCTTCATGCACGCTGGGCGTGTCGATTTCCTTTGACATTTTTGCAGTGGTGAATGCATAGCTGAAGTGCGCTTCAGCTAGAATCGTATTTGCAAATAAGTGGTTTTTCTACGAGGTTTAAAAATAAACAAGTGGTACGGAATATAACAAAAGAATATGAACCATGCAAAACGATAATCCGGGTATTGGAACTTGGCTGATTCGAAAACGCCTTCAAATGCGGCGTGATACTTCACACATTCCGGAGAGTTCAAATAGTTGTATCATTGCGCCTTAGAAATGCGACGGAAGATTACAATTGAAATAGCCTTCATTCACGCTGGCCTTTTCGATTTCCGTTAACATTTTTACAGTCATGAATGCGCTTAAGTGCGCTGCAGCTAGAATTATATTTAGCAAATAGATGGTTTTTATGGGAGGATTATAACTAAACAAGTGGTTAGAAATTGAAACAAAATAATATGAACTACGCAAAACGATTATACGGATAAAGAAACTTGGCTGCTTTGAACGAGCCTTCAAATGCGGCATGATACCTCACGCATTCCGGAGAGTTCAAATAGTTGTATCATTGCGCCGTAAAAATGTGACGGAAGATTTAAATGGAGATAGCCTCCATGCAGGCTTGGCTTGTTGATTACCTCTGAAATTTTTGCAGTGGCGAATGCATAGCTGAAGTGCTCTTCAGCTAGAATTGTATATAGCAAATGGCTGGTTTTTCCACGAGGATTAAAAATAAACGAGCGGTACGGAATATGACAAAAGAATATGAACTATGCAAAACGATAATCCGGGTATTGGAACTATAAACTGTTTTGAAAACGCCTTCAAATGCGGCGTGATACCTCACGCATTCCGGAGAATTCCAATAGTTGTATCATTGCGCCGTATGAATGTGACGGAAGATTTAAATGGAAATAGCCTTCATCACAGACCTTAACCAACAGCTAAACGGTATTTTTGCATGCGATGCAATTTTGCGCATCAAGGGAGTTTGCATCGATTATTGCGTTATTTGAAATTTCTACTATTGAAAATAAATCTCTTTGAAGAACGATATTAGTGTCAAACAAATATTTATTAATGGGCTTTAATTTTTCAATATTTATTTCAATATTTATTCAACGAGAGTCTGATAAGTTTACATTCATGCTGTCTTCTTCAAATAAGTGTCTGCCGTCTCAAGCTTATAGTCTAAGAGCCAGTCGATAATTACTGACAAATTTGTGACACAAGTTTTAACTATACTTAAATCTCTAGCCCTACATGCACAAAATGGTCGTCTGCCATATTTTAGCGTGTGCCAATAAATGGCAGACAACCATTTTCCGTGGTAGTGCAGATGTGATTAGTCAGAACTTGTGCCATGATTTTGTCACTGAATATAGTCTGGCTCGTGGACCATAAGCATTGAAATTACGATAATACAGGAAAAAATGGCGGCCTATTTTAAAGTTGGAATCCCTGTTCTACTGTCACGACTGATTTTTAGGATAACACACCGGACTCTTAATTGAATGTAGATTTGCATGAACGTGTAAATTTGATGAAATAGTTTATAAATTATGATTTTTGAGCAGGTTCATTTATTGCTTTACTGCATTTTGGCAAATTATATGCTCAGTATTATTGATGAGGATAAAAATCATGGATTGGAGCATCGTCGCAATGTTTCTGCTAGAGCTATGAAAGTAATAGAATCTGAGGCAAGATAATCATGATGACATGGAATCATTGTTGTCCAGACTTTGATTGGACCAATTTCGTTGGAAATGCAACAAGTCACATTTTGGGAAAAAACTGAGCCAGGAGTAGTTCTGATCCCGTCTAATCGTTAATTTTCTCCCGTTCGAAATTAAGTCGAAAAAAATATTTTGGACATGAAAATCGTCGTGGAAATTTTCTGTAGCGTTGGATCCCATGGAGGAATACAACTGTAAAACTCCTTTTCTTCGTTCAAAATTGAAGCCACTTGATGTAGTTTTTTACACTAGGTCCAATTTTTCTCGGCAATGCTCATGATAATGCAGAGATGCCCAGGATAGTTAATATTATGAGGTCATTTCCCTCCCCCCCTCTTTTTATATGTTTGATCTTGTTCATTAACTGTCAACAGAATCCAATACAGCATTAACACTATTAACAGAGATACCAGTTTGAACATACTCAGATACTGAATAGGTACAGCTTTCTTATCCTTGCGTTCAAGTCTCCAGGTCTATCATATAGCTTCGGTTGAACCTTTGAATTTTGGGGCCGTTCATGAATTACGTAACGCCCTAGGGAGGGGGGAGCGATCTGGAAGAGCTTTACGTTATTTTGTTTTTGCATGATGAAGGATGGGGACCTACATCATACGTCCCTCAACACGGAGGGGAGTAAAAAATGCCGAAAAAGTGCGTTACGTAATTCTTGAACGCTCCCTTTCCACCATTACCTCAAATATTTAAATGACAATTTTGAGGTGCATAGCATCAGTAAATTTAATCAATATTCCTCTGATATGACCATAGGCAGACTCACGACTATTGTTTTTCAAACAAAAGAAAAGTCACGTGAAGATAAGCCACAAGCATGCACAGTGAAAAAGGATGCATTGATTTATACTTGTCACTCGCAGATTTTTTCGATGTATCAAACTAAAATCATTCCTCTTCATTTTTCGCATTTTCATAAATTCCTCTGTCATATTAATATTTTCATGCTAAGGAAAAATGCCGAATGAACATCCGGCTGTTACCGCATTTCCTTTAAAAAACCATTCATGTTTGAGGGCATTAATGAATATTTTTCCTTGAAATTTTCAGATACTATTGGTAAAAATTGAAGTTTAAATGTCTTAAAATAATATCTGAAAAAATTTAAACTCTTAGAATGTATTTAAAAATGTTCTTGATAATTCACAATTTATCAGAAAATTGTTTTTAAAAGTGTGTAGGTTCAAACGACGTTTTCCCTCAGCCCAGCAGATAAGATTAGAAGTATACGTTGCGAGGCTTAGAGTATGCGTTTATGAGCACCCGCATGAATACTATAGTTTCATCAGAGATATTTATGAAAAAAAGTTGGTAATATTTAGAACTTAATTGTCACTGGGCTTGTATTGTTTATATTTTATTGATGTGTTTATGTTATTTTCTTTGTAATTGCAACTTTCGGAGTTCCGGAAGAAATATTCTCAGTCCTTTATTGGGGGAAAAGCTTGAGTGTACAGCATTCCCCTGATTCAAGGTTCACGTGAAAAAATTGAAAGAATATTTATCCGTGAAATTTACACTGAAAAAAAGTAGCTTGGATCAAGCATAATGATTCTTGAATTTGCCGCCAAGATTTTTTTTTATCTTGCTTTAAGCTGACTTTTTCTTGATACAAGGAAAATTATGCTTGGGTTATGCAAAAAAGTAGCTTATATTAACCAGTTATAATGACTGATTTCAGAAGAAATACTTATTGGCGGCAAATTTAAGATTATTTTTTTTTCAGTGTATGTGCTTTCTTTCCAAATAATAAATGCAAAACGATTCTCGCTGCTGAATATCACTGATGACAGTAAAATTACCTCTGAGAACTGCAGCGCGTACAACTGTACATATTGAGCTGTTATCGAAATACCGTGTTAAATACGCTCAAAAGAATCGTCTCCAAGATTGGGCGAATAATCTTTATTTCTAAGTTTTGCTCATACGAATCAAAAGAGGCTTTTAAAATGAAAAATCTGGTCGTTAATCGTTCAATGAACTTAGTTGGTTCCCTCGTATTCTAAGAAATTTAAAAAAAAAATTGTTTAAAGAATCATATGAAGTACAACTTTTAGATCTGATTTCATACAGTTGCCGCTCGGTTTGATAAGAGCTTGTTCGTATTTTGATTTTTTATTAAATTATCGAGATATCTTAAAATATAATCTCAGAGTTTCTTGACTTCATTTCTCATTGAGTTGACGATTTAAAAAGGATTCTGTCTGATATGGTGAGGAAAAGTGTATAAATGTGATTATTTTAAAAGAAGTAGCAAATAAGAAAACATGGAATTTAGAAAATAAATATTAATTTAATTTTCGTAGAAGGTCAGATCTGGAGTGGATTTTAAAGGTCGAAACAAATTCGAATTTAATCACATGGACAAGGCATACTTAGAACAACTCATTGAGTTTACAATATTACCAATTGATAAGTACACAACTGTACATTGAAATATGGTCAAACTTACAAAACTAACAAAAATAAATTAGGTAATAAATTAATTATCAATCAATCAGGGAATGTACATTTTGGTAGCTGCAATTTGGTTGAATTTAAAACAGTCCTTATCACACGTATGTACAAAAGGAATTTTGTAATCGTGGGCCTAGAGACGAAGTTATTGGTAAAATTTACATTAATGTGACTGTAAGGATGAATGTATTAACAAATTGTCAGTCTTTGAAGAGTTAGCGGGATATCATCCCTTTTTGTCGAAAAAAGTAAAAAATAGTCATGTTGTCAAATGTAAAGTCCAGTCAAGTTTCCTAAATTAAAATTCAGTCACAAAAGATGAGAAAAACATGAATTGAACAGAGAGGTAACTTAAGTCGAAGTCAAAATCTATTAATATACAATTGGTAGTATGATAAAGTAAAACGTCAATTTTTGGAGGTAGTCTCATAAACAATGGTAGTCTCTTTAACTCCACCGTCGGTCAGTCTGTCAGTCAGGGCACCATCCGCAGTATTTTTAGGTGAAGATATGTCAACATATTTTTTTAACAATAACTTTTAGATTTGGTCTGGATTTTGAGTTGTGAAAATATGAATGCCAACTAAGTTTTCACTGGTTTCCACGATGGTCACAGATAATGAAAAAAGTAGGATTTTATGAACGACGTACAGAACTGTCGCAACAAACTAAATTGCCAATGACTGAAATTACTGTAGATTTGATGACTGCATCTAGAATGTATACAATTAAATATAACAATTGAGCAATAACTAGAGGGTTAAATTACAACACAAAGTAACTTAAGCATCAATCAGTTTTCCACGGTAAATCTATCTTAATCTAAAACTACTTTTATTTGGCATCGCATTGGATTCACACGCTATATTTGTGTCCGGTGAGAATTTAGAAACGGATTTGGTTTTGTTGATCCCCCAAAATGTGCTAAAGGATCAAATATTGTTTTACATTGTTTCATTTGAATAAATTAATCTTTTCGGTATCTTTCATTTCTATTAAAAGATTGTCAGTCTTAGGCTGCTAAAATGCTTTTATGGTTTAACTTCGTTCTTGTATCATAGATTTTAATTATAGGCTTCATTTTTATACAATGCGTGTGTGGAAACGATTGTCACCTTTACCAAACTCGATTTTTTCGCAAGTTGGTAACGATGATATAGGCACGTAAGGAAAACTGGTTTAAATCTTTGGTATCTGACACCGCAAACTCTTGAGTCATGCGCCTTCACCGCATGATTTAACAAATTCATGTTTAAACATACAGTTTTTGAGGCATGTTACTCAGTATAAAGCTCATCGCTAAAAATACAGGAAGTTATGTGAGCTGTTTTCAAACCTTTTACTGTAACCGAATTTCTGCCTATCATTAACATGTCGATGTCACCCGAATATTCATCATACTATAGAAGCTCTTTCCCATACTCCAATTATATTGTTAACTCTATCTCAAGTCATCCGAACGATGACTGAGGGAGTCAGAGAGACTCATCGTTTTCATATTAATCTCTCTTGTTATCCTTTTAAAAGCCATTCAATCAGTGATGCGTTAAATTTAAAAGACTTGGAATCTTTATAATTTAACTTCACTTATTGAACTAGAAAAAATAGGAAAAGCTATGAAACAAACTACGCGAGTTAGTCTCGATATTCGGTCGATGAAGAATTGGACGTATTTCTATCAAACGGAACTATGTGCATTATGACGTGAGCCCTGAGACTCATAAGAATGTATGCATAACAGGGTTCACGTCGTTGAGCACATAGTTCCGTTTGACAGAAATACGTCCAATTACGAAATCTTTTGATGCTTGTGTGCAACGGTATTTTTTTATCTAATCTCCAGTTTGAAGGCGCTTGTAAATCTACCCCATTTAACGATGGGTTTCGGAGTCGTTTCAGAGGTCAAAAAGGTGAAAAAACAGCTCAAAACTTCTAGTGTCTGCGTGTCTGGGCGTCACTTTGAGCTGGAATCTATGTTCAAGAGAGTTATGAGTCGGCGCTGCCGGAGGAGGCGGGGATCTGGGCGCTGTAGGCCATCTCGTGGGCGCCCTGGAGACCGTTCATGCTGCGCTTGTAGTAGCCGCCTCCGGGGGCGCTCTGGGCGGCGGAGTTCCAGCCGGTGGCAGCCTGGTTCGTGGCTGAGGTCCAGTTGTCAGCGATCTTGCCCCAGCTGCCGATGCCGCTGTAGCCGCCGTGCGAGTATTTCTGGATGGCCAGGATTCCGGCGACGATGAGGGCGATCTTGCCGATGAAGAAGGCCTTGGCGGCGAGCAGACCCACCACTCCGATGATCAGGGGCAACACGGCGAAGATCTTCAGACCCAGGAGAGCGAGGATTGGGTACAGCTTCTTCTTGATCTTGCCACGGCCTGCAACATAAAAAGCAACGCTCGGTTCATGAATCACGTCACAGTATCAACATACGGTAGTTGAAAATTATGGACTTGCAAACTGCCTTCATTTTAAGAAGTAGGCAAAATTGTCACATTGACGTTAGAATAGTTACATACTCTGCGCCTGACCATTCAACGTGAACAAGATCCGTCAAGATGATACGTTTTTCACCATAATGATATTTGAAATTTTGCTCTTTAGATAAGTTAAAAGACAACTCGACGACATTTAATGTTTTAGGGGTCGTACCAAGGTATTTTAATTAGATTTAGATTGTTGTGGAGAAAATGTATAGATATTTCCCTCAAGTTTTCTGCATAGCACTGTCTTTGTTGCCGGTGCGTGAACGTTGAATTCTTGGAAGGTTTTGTCCTTCCGCGCTTCCAAACAAACAGCTTGCCCCGATTTCAAACGGTTTCTTCTATTTATTTATCTGTTTATTCAGTTTTGTATTTATTTTGACAGAGACCATAGAACAATACCAAAGTTGAAACGCGAGAATACGCGGAACATACACCTCCTTGCACGAAATACGTGACGGTATGTGGCCCACCGAAAAATGACCGTATTACGTGACCAGCATCAAACGCCAGCACCTTCCTCCTTCAAGCCTATATGCTCATCACCCCACGCCCAGACAAGCGCCAAAATGAGAAAACTTAATCGTGAGTATACTGCATTGCGACCAGCGTACCATTAAATTTATGCAGGCGCCCATTCACTTCACATTCAAGAGATTCACCCAGAAAATGTCGGCAATCAGTCAGCTACTACTTTTAGCTTTCATTCTGTAAAGCTGTTCCATTGCCAAAACAAGACATGGTGTAAGCTAAGGCATGCCTTGCCTCTCTATAATTTTGTTTAGGCTTTTTCGGATCTTTTGGATTACAGCAGCCAGATTGATGAAATTCTGTGTTTGTCGATCAGACATCTTCATCCTTGGTCCTCTTCGTCGTGCCGATAAAGGATCGATTGACGACAAAGTATCGGCAACTCAAGAGGTACCTATAACCTCTCGTTAATTACATCCTTTACCGGCATGACAAGGAGGATCGATCACAGGTGGACACACCACATTCTCCTTGATTTTGTCTTACCGATCAATCAACTAACACAAAATTTCAACGATCAGGCTGCTGAGTTATCCAAAATTCACCCTATCTACGTGCTCTAGACCTCCACTGCAAGGAACGCTTTCGCGGAGAAAAAGCTATGGCTCTATAAACCAATTAGTGGTTCATAGGGAACACCACTAATAGTCGTAAATGAACTAATACTTCTAGGTCTGTGAACCATACTATCATCACTAAGGTATATGTGCCATTACTATTTGTTGCGTTCCATGTGAGCCACTAATTGGTTTCTAAGCCATAGCTTTTTCTCAGTGCGGATCCCGCATGTAAGAACTTTATTTTGCATCACCATCCGGCAACCAGTTTATAGTGATCCCCGCTGCAAGGTCAGTGGCGTTCACGTAGGGGTCATCAGCACGAGAGTAAGTCGTAACGAAACAGGTTTGCTGCCGATTGCACCGATGACGCAAGCTAGTCTGGGTCCGGTCTGGCCGATCCTATCATCAAAATTCATCGGGGCGCCGCGCGGGCCGAAAGCTGCATCGCGGCGGATCGAGCTTTCTTCGGGTGACGCAACTTGCGGTCAAGTTCGAGGCGCAAGTCGTGATCTTCCCGGATCCGCGAGGCTCGGATCGAGAACCTCGTTAGTGCAGGTTGGGATGATCTGGTCCAGCTGGTTACGTCACGGTGGTGCAGCCTCACCAGAGGCTCGATACTCTTGAAGACTAATTAAGCGCCTACGCCATTCTACATACAGGGTGATCCAAGGTTAAACGGCCAGACTTTAGGAGCTGAAACACCTCCGCTCCGTCCATTTAAATTGAGATTTCGATTTTTCTTAGATCTTTTATGAATTCAGGGCGTGAAAGTACAAGAAAGTACAAATTTCCATGAGATTTCATTCACAACCATTGCCAAAATTCAGGAAAATCGATTTATTTCCCGAAATTTTGGGGGGCCGTAACTCTGACGGAAGGCACTTTTGGGGGCACTTCATACAGCAAAAAAATCTTATTTTGACCCATAAAACACGCTCTTAGAGTCTGGAAGTTTAATCTTGGATCACCCTGTATAGCCGTTGAATTATGCCGATTTTTTTAAAGCTCGGCCAAAGGACCGATATCAAAACAGTTTGTTTGTTCTGGGAGAAAACATCGAATATCGGACGAAGTGGGTACTAATTCAGACTCATTATAAAATCAAATTTTTTTTACTTCTATACAACGCTTCATGCCCGCATTGCCTCCTCCTTTGATTTACTTGTAACGCATATAACATTATTCGTAATGCAAACTAAATCTAGGCTTTATTATCAGGATTCTAGTAATATGTACAAATCGAAATTTTTGACCTCAAATCGGGGTTTTCCGCTGTTTTGAACAATTTACGTTTCCACGTTATGCGGCTCCTTTTCACTCCAACACATTTCGATCTAATTCGATATTATGAATAATAATAATAATAATATAAAAATTGTACATTAACAGAGGCACTCTCAAAATTTTTCAAACGCTTTACGTAACATTTTAAGTTGTATCCAATTTGTTTATCATGCGAGTATGCTTCCGTAGAATCGGCTGTGATTCTGCGTACAGTATAGGCTGGTAGACCTAATCTCATCGTAAAAGCGAACTTGGGAATTTAGCCGACAATGGCGCGGAATTTCTGCTTCTGCGAGGCGGTGAATTTTTGTGCAGAGAGAATGACAGGGCCGAAAAAGAGTCTAGTCAGTTCATTAATTAAAACGCCGAGCTGCGCCCGCGCAGCGCGACTGAGTCTGAGCTGTGACTCTGATTTCGTCCGGCAAAATGACCATATTTGGCACGCTTTCCACTCGCGTGCCATTCCTCGTGCTGTTTTCGGCTTTACCAAAACTCAGCAGGAAGAGTAATGTGTATCTTCTACTGTCAGCGTTGCAATATCTCGAACGCTCCGGCGTGAAAGCTGTTCGTTCGAGATCCGGTCTATTGCCCGTAAATTGTATAACATTTTGCAATAAGGAACAACGATATTTGGCTCTTCCATAAAAGCACGTATCTCCATCCGGAAATCAATGGCATGTATATGGGGACTTATCTGCAACAATAGCGGGTGTGAACAATTACCTTTTAGAAACACGCTTAAAAAACTGTTTTGTTCACACAAAAATTTAAAATGTTTGGCTCTGGCATAATGTACAGATCTCGAGGATCACATCTCAAGTATTTTCTCAAAATTTTCTCGATGCCAAAACAGTTTTTTGAATGTGTTTCGACATGGTAATTTTTCACATCCGCTACATTGTTACAGATAAGTCCTCGTATGTTGTTTCTAAAATGAGCCAGAAAAAGTTTCTCCATATTGCAAAATGGAATCCAGATATAGTACAATAAGGAAGTTGCACTAGTCCGAGATTCCGGTTTTGATTGGTTCAGATTACAGATTGGCAAATAATAATAATATTTTTCCGAATACCAAGTTTCCACGTCCAATATCTACTGAGATATTGCCCTTCAAAAACATGACGTATGACGTCATCTACCGCGGCGGTACATACCATGGTCGGTTATACCACTTTGGTTTCATCCATGATTCAAGTTGAACAACAAGTGCAAAAGTGTGTATCTCTAATTGATCATAACAAAGTGAAAGGAACCATGATAAATACTATCACGGCACGATGACGTCATACACCGGAGTTTTTGAAAGGTAATATCTCAATCAATATATTGAACGCAGAAACGCGGCGTTTGGACAGATCGTATTGTCATTTGCTAATCTATAACCTTAAAACATCAAAACGCAATCCTGCGACAGGTGCATTTGACCTATGTACTGTGCCCCCAGTACGGACATGTATACTGCCGTACAAAGGAGAAGAAGAGTGTCTGTTTCAGAGAAAATATAATTTACCGTTGACTCGATCATACGGCTATTTATGTACTGGTTTCCATATTTTTGTGCGTGTTTCCTACGTTAAGTAGACTTCTTAACCCTTTCACTTTTTTTACACGCTTTGGCTGCTCAAAGGTTTATTGAAGATTAAAAAAATCCTCACTACCGGAGTTGTTGCACAATTTTTGGAGCTGCATCCAGTTGCCAAAATTAATAACTCAATACATCTTGAACGGGACGATGATGCAAAATATTTTCATTAAAAAATGGCAACATTGATCCTATGACGAATCAACTTATTTTGGCGATGTCGCTCCGTAATTTGGCGTGTTATCGAAGTCGCAAGACGGAGTAACGACCTATCAGCTCTGCGGGAAAATTAGTGCAAAGAGCATAAAATGAGGAGTCGTAGGTCAAGCAAAACGCAAGAAATATTTCTACCTTAGCCACACCTTGACGTTCTCGCGGATTCTACCTTAGATTTTTTTTAATTTTACGGTACAATCAGCGTTCATCTATGGATAGTAGGAGATTACAATATGTATGTAAGCAAACATTTTAAGTGATAATTAGACAATAATATTTTCTGAGCAAGTAACAGAGAGTCATGGGATACTAAATTAAGTTGAGCTATTTTCATCAAATAAATTAATGAAATTGATGATTCTGCACTATTTTCATGCATTTTTTTTCTTCAAATTACTTCTATGTATACCTGCAGATATAAGATGTAACGTTATCTGTTTTTTTCATTTGAGCTAATAATAACACACTCCAACTTTTCGATTCGGGCACAAAATTTTCCAAGTATATTTTTCTTCAGTTTTGTCTATCCTCGCGAGAAAAATCATCAAACACCGGATGCACCCACGATGCACATTTCGGCAAATTTTTCCTGCTTCAGAACTCTCTCAAAATATTCTAATTGCGCAACATTTTTCGAACGAATTATTTTTTTGCAGAGAACTATTTTTTAGATAACTTCCATGATTTTTATATCATTGGCAGGTTTTCTGGTATAACTGTTT